GTGTGTGTGTGTGTGTGTGTGTGTGAGTGTGTGTGGTGTGTGTGTGTGTGTGTGTGTGTGTGTGTGTGTGTGTGTGTGTGTGTGTGTGTACTCACCTATATGTACTCACCTATATGTGCTTGCAGGATCGAGCATTGACTCTTGGATCCCGCCTTTCTAGCTATCGGTTGTTTACAGCAATGACTCCTGTCCCATTTCCCTATCATACCTAGTTTTAAAAGTATGAATAGTATTTGCTTCCACAACCTGTTCCCCAAGTGCATTCCATTTTTCTACTACTCTCACGCTAAAAGAAAACTTCCTAACATCTCTGTGACTCATCTGAGTTTCCAGTTTCCACCCATGTCCCCTCGTTCTGTTATTATTACGTGTGAACATTTCATCTATTTCCACTTTGTCAATTCCCCTGAGTATTTTATATGTCCCTATCATATCTCCTCTCTCCCTTCTTTTCTCTAGTGTCGTAAGGTTCAGTTCCTTCAGCCGCTCTTCATATCCCATCCCTCGTAGCTCTGGGACAAGCCTCGTCGCAAACCTCTGAACCTTCTCCAGTTTCTTTATGTGTTTCTTCAGGTGGGGGCTCCATGATGGCGCGGCATACTCTAAGACGGGTCTCACGTAGGCAGTGTAAAGCGCCCTAAAAGCTTCCTCATTTAGGTTTCTGAATGAAGTTCTAATTTTCGCCAGTGTAGAGTACGCTGCTGTCGTTATCCTATTTATATGTGCCTCAGGAGTTAGATTAGGTGTCACATCCACTCCCAGGTCTCTTTCTCGAATCGTTACAGGTAGGCTGTTCCCCTTCATTGTGTACTGTCCCTTTGGTCTCCTGTCACCTGATCCCATTTCCATAACTTTACATTTACTGGTGTTAAACTCCAGTAGCCATTTCCCTGACCATCTCTGCAGCCTGTTTAAGTCCTCTTGGAGGATCCTACAATCCTCGTCTGTCACAACTCTTCTCATTAATTTTGCGTCATCTGCAAACATTGACATGTATGATTCCACTCCTGTAAACATATCATTTACGTAAATTAGAAAGAGGATTGGTCCCAGCACCGATCCTTGAGGTACTCCACTTGTTACTGTTCGCCAGTCCGACTTTTCGCCCCTTACCATTACCCTCTGGCTCCTTCCTGTTAGGTAGTTCTTCACCCATACTAGGGCCTTTCCGCTTACTCCTGCCTGCCTCTCAAGTTTGTATAGCAGTCTCATGTGCGGTACCGTATCAAAGGCCTTTTGGCAGTCAAGAAATATGCAGTCTGCCCAGCCTTCTCTGTCCTGCCTTATCCTTGTTACTTTATCATAGAATTCTAAAAGGTTTGTTAGGCATGATTTCCCTGTCCAGAACCCATGTTGGTGCTTGTTTACAAACCCAATGCTCTCCAGGTGCTCAACAAGTCTTAGCCTAATTATTCTTTCAAGTATTTTGCAGGGATGCTTGTCAGTGATACGGGTCTGTAGTTAAGTGCCTCCTCCCTATCACCCTTTTGAAAATCGGTACGACATTTGCCTCCTTCCAGCAACTGGGCAATTCTCCCGACATAAGTGACTCATTAAAGATCATTGCCAGAGGCACGCTGAGAGCCTGCGCTGCCTCTTTGAGTATCCACGGTGATACTTTGTCTGGTCCAACAGCTTTATTTGCATCCAGTGTTGTCAACTGTTTCATTACATCCTCTGCTGTCACCTCTATATCCGATAGTCGCTTTCTGTATATGCCCCTTCTGTTTCCTCAGTCTTGTCACTTGGTCATTTACCGACATCTTCCTTCTTATATGCTATGTAGTATTTTGGTTGCTTTTTCGCTTTGACTGCAATATCGTTCTCATAATTCCTTTCCGACACTCGTCTTATGTTAATGTAATCATTCCTAGCTCTGTTACATCTAATCCTGTTGTCCTCTGTCCTTTGTCTTCTGTACTTCCTCCACTCCCTCCTGCTTTTCTTGCTTTGCTTCCTGACACTGTCTATTAAACCCTGGGTATTATATTCCCTCCTGCTTTTTTTCCTTTATGTTGGAATAAATCTATCTTCAGCCTCCTTGCATTTCAATATGACTTGGTTCATCATACCTTGCACTGTTTTTCCTCTAAGTTCTTCCTCCCACTGCACTTCTCCCAGGTAGTCCCTTATCCTTCTGTAGTTCCCCTTTTCGTAATCAAGTCGCCTTTCCCGGACCTCTTGTCCTTTGGTCACAATTTTAAGCTCCATCATGTAGTCAAAGACTAGGACACAATGTCACTAGCTCCTAGTGGTATTTCATGTTCCAACTGCTCGATGTCTTCTACATTCTGAGTGTGTGTGTGTGTGAGTGTGTGAGTGTGTGTGTGTGTGTGTGTGTGTGTGTGTGTGTGGTGTGTGTGTGTGTGTGTGTGTGTGTGTGTGTGTGTGTGAACATTTAATGTTATATAAACATTTATATATATCAAACATGTAGTTTATAAGACCCCCACACAAGTGTAGAAAAAAAAGAGTTACCTAAATAATATCCACAAACACTTTGGAGAGCTGAAAGTCAAGTTAATTCCTCACTGCACTAAAAACACACTAAAAACACACTAAAAACACTAAAAACACACTAAAAACACTTAAAAAACACACTAAAAACACACTAAAAACACACCTAATACCTTAAACATTAGGAGAAGTTATGTAACCACACGACACTAACTAACCCCATGCCTGAAGGATACATATATTTAACACTAAACAGTAACTAAGTTTACAAAGCAACTGAAATATTAAGAGCAAAAATAAAGCATTTAAAATCGGCTTAACTGGCGAGAAAAAGTTAATGATTAATTGTTTAGGTAAAACATTATGTGGGACCAGATGAGGGGAAGATCTGGGAGGGGAAGAGAAGAGAGAGAGAGAGAGATGGGAGAGGGAGAGAGAGAAAGAGATGGGAGAGCAAGAGAAAGAGAGAGAGAGAGAGCTTACGAACGAACTGGAACGTATCTTTCTTACAATCTCAAGAACATATCCATCTTACGACCTCAGAAACGTATCCATCTTACGACCTCAGGAACGTATCCATCTTACGATCTCTGGAACGTATCCATCTTACAATCTCAGGAACGTATTCATCTTACGCTCTCTGGAACGTATCCATCTTACGATCTCTGGAACGTATCCATCTTACAATCTCAGGAACGTATTCATCTTACGATCTCTGGAACATATCCATCTTACAATCTCAGGAACATATCCATCTTACAATCTCAGGACACGTATCCATCTTACGACCTCAGGAACGTACACCCCTCATACGATCTCAGGAACGTATCCATCTTACCTCAGGAACGTATCCATCTTACGACCTCAGGAACGTATCCATCTTACGACCTCAGGAACGTATCCATCTTACGATCTCCGGAACGTATCCATCTTACGATCTCAGGAACGTAAACTGCTAATGAGCCATAAGTAAAGGTAAAACTCTGTAATATTGTAAACTTTACTTGAACCTTTGAAGACAACTTCTAAGGATCTTTTGAATGTAAATTTCTGACAGAATTTGTAAGAGCTTAACTCTCTAAACCTGGATGAGGAAGAGGAGGAGATGTCTCCTCTTCCACGTCCTATCCCCACGTCCTCTTCCACGTCCTATCCCCGTCCCTCATCACCACGTCCCTATCCCACGTCCTCTCCTCCACGTCCTATCCCACGTCCTCTCCCACGTCCTATCCCACGTCCTCTCCCACGTCCTATCCCACGTCCTCTCCCACGTCCTATCCCACCCTCCCGGGACACCTCACCCTTCAAGTATTACCATCCATCAAGGCTCCCACTCATCACACTATCGTCAGCTCTTTTATATACGATCTTTTTTGAAGCACTTGCTGTCTATCTTCCCAGCGCTGTCTATCTTTCCAGCACTGTCTATCTTTCCAGCACTGTCTATCTTTCCAGCACTGTCTATCTTTTCCAGCACTGTCTATCTTTCCAGCACTGTCTATCTTTCCAGCACTTGTCTATCTTTCCAGCACTGTCTATCGTTCCCCCCAGGGTGCGGGAGGGCGTGCAGGGTGCGGGAGGGCGTGCAGGGTGCGGGAGGCGTGCAGGGTGCGGGAGGGCGTGCAGGTGCGGCAGGGCGTGCAGGCGGGAGGCGTGCAGGGTGGCGGGAGGGCGTGCAGGGTGCGGGAGGGCGTGCAGGGTGCGGGAGGGCGTGCAGGGTGCGGCAGGGCGTGCAGGGTGCGGCAGGGCGTGCAGGGTGCGGCAGGGCGTGCAGGTGCGGCAGGGCGTGCAGGGTGCGGAGGGCGTGCAGGTGCGGCAGGGCGTGCAGGGTGCGGAGGGCGTGCAGGGTGCGGGAGGGCGTGCAGGGTGCGGGAGGGCGTGCAGGGTGCGGGAGGGCGTGCAGGTTGCGGGAGGCAGGTTGCGGGAGGGCGTGCAGGTTGCGGGAGGGCGTGCAGGTGCGGGAGGGCGTGCAGGGTGCGGGAGGGCGTGCAGGGTGCGGAGAGGGCGTGCAGGGTGCGGGAGGCGGCGCAGGGTGGGGAGGGGCGTGCAGGGTGCGGGGAGGCGTGCAGGTTGCGGGAGGGCGTGCAGGGTGCGGGAGGGCGTGCAGGGTGCGGGAGGGCGTGCAGGGTGCGGGAGGGCGTGCAGGTGCGGGAGGCGTGAGCAGGGTGCGGCAGGGCGGCAGCAGGGTGCGGGAGGCCGTGCAGGGTGCGGGAGGGCGTGCAGGGTGCGGCAGGGCGTTGCAGGGTGCGGGAGGGCGTGCAGGGTGCGGGAGGGGGCGTGCAGGGTGCGGGAGGGCGTTGCAGGGTGCGGGAGGGCGTGCAGGGTGCGGGAGGGGCGTGCAGGGTGCGGGAGGGCGTGCAGGGTGCGGGAGGGCGTGCAGGGTGCGGGAGGCGTGCAGGTGGCGGGAGGGCGTGCAGGGTGCGGCGGGAGGGCGTGCAGGGTGTCGGGAGGGCGTGCAGGGTGCGGCAGGGCGTGCAGGGTGCGGCAGGGCGTGCAGGGTGCGGGAGGGCGGTGCGGTGCGGCAGGGCGTGCAGGTGCGGGGGGCGTGCAGGGTGCGGCAGGGCGTGCGGGTGCGGCAGGGCGTGCAGGGTGCGGCGGGGGGTGCGAGGGTGCGGCAGGGCGTGCAGGGTGCGGGAGGGCGTGCAGGGTGCGGCAGGGCGTGCAGGGTGCGGGAGGGCGTGCAGGGTGCGGGAGGGCGTGCAGGGTGCGGCAGGGCGTGCAGGTTGCGGCAGGGCGTGCAGGGTGCGGGAGGCGTGCAGGGTGCGGGAGGCGTGCAGGGTGCGGGAGGGGCGTGCAGGGTGCGGGAGGGCGTGCAGGGGTGCGGCAGGGCGTGCCGGGTGCGGCAGGGCGTGCAGGGTGCGGGAGGGCGTGCAGGGTGCGGTAGGGCGTGCAGGGTGCGGGAGGGCGTGCAGGGTGCGGGAGGGCGTGCAGTGGTGCGGCAGGGCGTGCAAGGTGCGGCAGGGCGTGCAGGGTGCGGGAGGGCGTGCAGGGTGCGGGAGGGCGTGCAGGGTGCGGGAGGGCGTGCAGGGTAGGGCAGGGCGTGCGGGTGCGGGGGCGTGCAGGTGCGGCAGGGCGTGCAGGGTGCGGGAGGGCGTGCAGGGTGCGGGAGGGCGTGCAGGGTGCGGGAGGGCGTGCAGGTGCGGCAGGGCGTGCAGGGTGCGGGAGGGCGTGCAGGGCAGGAGGGCGTGCAGGGTGCGGAGGGCGTGCAGGGTGCGGCAGGGCGTGCAGGGTGCGGGAGGGCGTGCAGGGTGAGGCAGGGCGTGCAGGGTGCGGCAGGGCGTGCAGGGTGCGGAGGGCGTGCAGGGTGAGGCAGGGCGTGCAGGGGGCGCAGGGCGTGCAGGGTGCGGGAGGGCGTGCAGGGTGCGGGAGGGCGTGCAGGGTGCGGCAGGGCTGCAGGGTGCGGCAGGGCGTGCAGGGTGGGCAGGGCGTGCAGTGGTGCGGCAGGGCGTGCAGGGTCGGCAGGGCGTGCAGGTGCGGCAGGGCGTGCAGGGTGCGGGAGGGCGTGCAGGGTGCGGCAGGGCGTGCAGGGTGCGGCAGGGCGTGCAGGGTGCGGCAGGGTGTGTGTGAGATTATGAGGACGTCACGCTGAGAGAGCGTAGTCATTCAGATTGCGGTAAATGAGGACACTTTATCACTTACTCTGGCGTAAGTTCTGCTATTAGTGATCTCTTTTTGGCTGATGTTACCTTTCTCACTTCTGCTCTACCTCATAT